CAAAGTCACTTCTGGTCCTGCGCTCGCCCCAGGGGCACCCAGGCAAAGCACAGCCGCTCCCCCCGGCACTGGACGGCCACTCTCAGCACGCCCGCGGCCCCAGAACTCCTCATCTTTCTGTTCCACTTCCAAACGTCCCAGTCAATGTTGATCTTGCATTTGTATTTTTTGCACAAGTACCATCAGCACACTTGAAGCAGAGAGCGGCGTTCCCTGCTGGCATTCAGCAGGGAGCAGAAGGGAAAGCGATAAAGGTGGAGTAATCCACATCACGCTTCGTCCAATGCTCAAGCAACCAGAGGACATCAGGGTGTGAAGTGGACACCTGCCAGGATTTGGCCTTCTCAGGCTTTTGAAGGTCTGTTTAAGCTCCTTTCATACAATTTCTTATGAAAATTTCATAAAGCACTCAGTCCTTTGAGCCCACCCTCTTCTTCCTCTAATGCGATTGCAGGACAGGATCCTGCAAACCACCACGCACGTCCTCCTCAGCTAGACCTTCCGCATCTGTTTTCATGGGGAAACTGAAGATAACCATACTGGCTCTAGACATTTCAAGCACAACTGTTCACATAGATCTATGCTCTCATTTTTCTTTTGCCAATACACTTCTACTGGGTAAAAGCCAGCTCCGCCCAAGCACGCTAACCTACCGAAGCACATGTCTCGCTCCTGCTCTCGTGTTCCAACTGAATCAGGTTTACAAGATTCAGCATCAACCTAAACTCATGCTGCATAAGCCCAGCTCACAGATCCCAGTCCTTCAGGACTCTGGGTGGAGAGGAAGGAAGGCTGATGCATCCCCCAGTCGTTAGCACAACGAGCTGCCGTTTACAACAGAGTAAAAAGGCTGTGCTACTGCTAAGGCGATAGCCTTATGCGAAAGATCTGAACGGCACAGCTTGTGGAATGCTGGGTGATTTCTAATAAGCTTTTTTTTTTTTTTTAATATCTTCCAAGAGCTCTGAGATCCTTCTGCCAACTGGAACCAAACGTAACACTAATACATGCTGGAAACCCCAGGTGGCACTGGCCCGCGTTCAGCCTGGCCTCCTCAGGACTCCTCACCGTTCCACTACCAGCTGGATCTGCAGCAACCCACGGATTCTGTCTAATTGGTTTTTACTCGGTAATTGCACTTCTCAGGAGAGCTGCTCAAACAAGGTGACAGGGAACTTGAGGAGCAGAGCTAGAGGGCTGAGAAAGGACGCAGAGCATTCCTAGCCCAAAACCCAGACTGCCAATCTGCACTACAAAGAATAACACAAGAGTAACAAACAAACAAGCTTAAGAATTGTTCGGAAACCTCTATGTGGCCTTTGGAATTTCCTTGGTTTTGTGAGGGGAAACTCCTCGTCCTCGCTATTCCCATGAAAGCGCGTGGTAGCTACCATGAGGAAGACGAGGAATGTGCATTGAACTGGCCAAACTGGGCAATCATCCAGAAGCAGCACTTTACAATCTGCACAGTGAATTCAACCAACTACAGGAATTCTGGATTGCTACTGAATAAAAACATTTCCCTCCTAATGGACAGCTCCAGATCAAGATGGGCCTTACTGCCCGACCCACGAGGAACACGCACGCTACAGCACCAGTAGAGAATGTGTGGAATGGAGACAAGACTTGCAGAAGCATAAAAAGCAACTCTCCCTCTAATCATCCTGAGTAGTTGTATATACAAATACACACTTCTCCTTCCACGCCTTCCCGAGATATTCCTGTAGTTCAGGTTCACAAGAGACAATTTTTTTGGACAAGTTCACATAACGACCAGTGCTTCATTTACCTGCATCGGTACGGTGAATGTGCACACTGGCAAATACTCAAATCTGGCATGAATTCTGAAAAGCAGAGCCTTGATTTATTTTATATAATTAACATCCAAAATACTATTTTGATGAGAAGTGCCGCTTTGTAAGTGACGCTGACTAACATCGGGTGACTTAATCCTCACCCAGGCTGCTTTTTTATGAGAGCACACCTTGCTGTCCACACGCCCACTGGAAGCTAAGGCTGAGACACCCAGCACGTCCCCTCTGCTGCAGCTTTGGCGAAGGTATACACTGAGCAAAAATCATGTTGCACCTGTGCTGTTCCTCTGGGTCTCTCTCATCAACGTGAGCTTCGTAACCCTTTCGACACCTTTCCCCATTTCACTTACAAGTCTCTTTTTGTAGTCACAAACTATTTTATCCCTGATTTGGGCTCTTTTCACAACCTATCGCGAACCATCTCCAATTATTTTAGCTACTGCTGTGAAGTTTACTGGAAGCGTAACAAATGATGTTTCTTCCCAGATTTACTCAAGTGCGTAACTGAAAAATAAAGCACTTAGTTGGCAGTGTTTGTATTCCCCAGAAACTGCACGGCAACGTTTGAGCTGCCTGGGGTGGCCGGGCAGGGGCGGCCCTTTGAGCTGGGAAGGCCACAGTGCCACCCGCCCTTCTGCTACGGGCAGAGACCCTCGTTCACGGAATTAGTTCAGCCTAAAGTGACCTGGGCCAGGTCCCTAACAGTCAAGGTCACGGCTGAGACGTGCTCCAGATCACCAAGAGGGGAGAACGGGCAGAAATCAAAGCATTTTTGTTTATTTCAGTTAACCTAAGGTCGTGCCTGAAAAAATAAACGATACCACAACCTGAATGTAAGCTCAGGTAACCACCTCTCGTCAGCAACTTTAGGAATTGGGACCCAAGAGGTTGGCCGGCCGTGCCCAGGGAGCGCAGCGCCCTTACACACATCGCTCATCCCGTCCGCCTCTGACAGGCTGGGGTCCTGAGGCCTCTCCGCTTCCTGGCTTAAGTTTAAAGATCTCAGGAAGATTTCCTTGGAACGCTGCCTAAAGCCTTCCCTCGCGTCTCTCTGCACGTTCCCGGGTACCACTTAAAAAATTCCATCGCTTTCTTGCAGTTTACATCTTCCAAACATTTGGGGGTTGATAACATCAAGGCTTAGTCGCTCGTGCCTTTTACCCCTTCCTAAGCCGACCGTCCCTG